GCCGCCGCCGCTGCCGTCCGCGCCGCGCGCCGCCGCGGGCGGCCCCGCCTCGCCTTCCGCCGGCCGCTCGCCCGCCTCGCGCCCCTGCTCCCCCTCTGCGTCCTCCTCCTCCTCCAGCGCCTCCTCCTCCTCCTCCTCTTCAGATTCAGTGTCCTCCTCCTCGTCCTCCACATCAAACATGCCGCCGCAGAACGCCCCCTGCAGCCCCAGCCCCGCGGTCGGCTGCAGCAGGGACGGCATCCCGAGGCTGAGGCCCAGGTTGGCCATCGGGCTGATCGCATGCGAAGGCGGGAAGCCGCCGGGGCCCCCACCCTGCCCGCCGGCGCTCATGTCGCCGAGGGGCATGACAGGCCGCATGTTTGGGGAGCCCATCGTGGGGAAGCCGCCCATCATGCCGAAGGGCGGCCCCATGCCCATGCCCATGCCCATGCCCATGCTCATCGCCATGCCCATGCCGCCGTCCTGCAGGGCGGGGGCGGTGGTTGGGTACCCTTGGCAGCGCGCAACGAGCGGGAGCAGGCGAGGCTAGGTGCATGCGTGAGCCTGCCGCGCGCTGCTGTCATGCGGCGGCGCGGCCCCCGAGTACGTTGGCGCCACTCACCATGACCAAGACCTGCGGCTTGGGCGGCCGCTGCGACCGCACCACCACCCTCGGCTGCCCCGGCATGGGATGGTTGTGATCATCCTGCACAGGAGGTTTGGGTAGACAGCGGTGGGTCAGCCAAGCCCTGCGGTGATGATATACATGAGTTCAGGTTGGCGTCCGCACGTCCACCCCGCTGCGCGTGTGGGCCGCACCAATGCGCAGCAGGGGCAGTCGCAGGCCGCGCGCATGTGCACACCTTGTACTGCGTCGACAGCACCGCCCCCGACCCCGCATCCCGCTCCACAATTTTTTTGGCGGGGCAGCCCGGCTGACTGCACTTGTAGTAGCTGCGGGGGCAGGGGCTGCCTTTGACCAGCTTCTCGCCATATCTGTTGCCAGGGGGGAGCAGGCAGCGAGCCCATTGAGTTGAATGGGTGAGCCCAATTCAACAGGCTGGCTGTGAATCGCGGCTGTGTTGGTGTGATCAAGGGCTGGTTGACGAAACACATGCTCGGCGGGGCCCGGCCGCATGCGGCGCACGGGCGACGGGGCCGGCCAACAACAGCCGCACACAAACGCGCATGGCGACCGTGACTGCAGGACGGAGAGCGCCAGTCGGGCGCCGCCCCGCCGGGACGCACTTGCGCCACTGCCACCCGTCGTCGTTGGCTTGAGATTGTTTACCCGGCTTCAGCATGGGCTGAGGTGCGATGGAGCATGGTGGGCTCTGGTCAGCGAGCTGGACGGGTCAAGAGCTCGCGGCCAGCCAACAAGCTGGACGCCACGGTACGAGCCTTTGGCCATGTTCTTAAGCGTTGGAGTCAGCTGCGAGGCGTCCCTAGAAGCGCCCAGATCGGATGAGGAGGCTGGCCCGTCACGCGTCCTGCCGCCCCGCCGGCGTGCGCGTGACATGAGGCTCACCGGGGGCATCATCGGGGGCATGGGAGGCGGATACGCCATCCTCCCCGGATCAGCCATGCTGCTCGGGCCCACAGCTTGCCCCGTGGTGGTGTGCACCACGGGCTGGAAAAGGGAAGAGTCCTCGTCGTTGATCAGGCCCACGTTATTGGTGCTGGGTTCGGCCTGTGCAAGGGTGCGGTCAGGGTCATAGCCTTTGACCTGGCCCGGTGGCAGCTGCGCGGCGCTGCACTGCTGGGCAGCAGGCCCACGCACCTGGAATAGCGACAGGAGGTGAGCTGGTTCTGATGGCGTGGTCCACGCGTTCCCGTGATGCAGCGCGAGCGACGCACCGGCGACGTCCAGCGAACAGACCGCAGTTGCCGCCATGTGGTGCGCAGCCTACGGCCCTCTTCTGTTGTTTTCGGGGCACTGTAGCCAAATTCGACCCCCAAAACTAGTGGGTTTGTGCAGCTAGCTGAGAAACAATCAGAATCCAGTCAGGACCATGGTTTGGCACCCGCTCAATCTCTCTCTCTCTCCCAAGCCAGATCAGGCCGCAGATCAGCTGACTTTGACTGGGCAAGGCTGGGCCTGAGTAGACCACTTATTCACGTGCCTCAAGTCGCTGGAAGTTTGCCTCATTTGGGGCAACGTTTTGACATGGACTGTAAGCAGTGCTTCAAGCAGTTGTATGGCACGTACGTGGTGCACCCAGCCTTTGCGCCCCGATGCAGAGCAGGGCAATGGGCAGAGGACTTGAGGGCATTACAGTGTCACAAGACCGACAGGCCAAAGCATGGGCCCCTCCGAGCGATGCGCTCACAGAAAAAAACATGCATTCAGCAGGGCGCCACCTGCAAACCCACCTTTCCACGCTTGAGGGCCACAATTGGTGGCCAGGGGACGCGCATGCAAACGAGACAGTTGAGTCCCTCACCGCGCAGCAGACAGCAGAAGCGCCCCTCGGCCCAAAAAACAGACGGCTGTGTCAGGAGCTGCAGAGACGGCGGCTGGCCACTCTGCTATTGCAGAGTCTGCGGGGCGACAGTTTGGGTCATGCCACAGCCATCTGGAACAGATGAGCAGCACGCGTGCAGCTAACAGCTCAAAGGAGGCAAGCGGGGTCCAAGCGCTGCTGATTCAGGCTGACTATGACACGGGTCTTTCTGCCGCGGCGTTGCGTAGTGCCAACATGCGGCATGCGTTGTTGCTGCGGAAGGAGGTATGGAGGGTTGCAGACGGACTCCGGGCCTGGCCGGAAGCCAATGTCAAGGAATGGAACCTGGATGAGCCGCAAAAAATGCCGAGAAGGCGCACGGAGGTTGGCCGGAACCGCCAACTGCAGCCGCGCGCCAGTGCCGCCTCAGGCAGGCGCCCCGCCGGCCCCCAGCCCCCCAAACGCGCCCACGCCGCCGCCGCCGAGCATGCCCCCGAGCATCTCGAACGCCATCGCCAGCCCCTGCCCCAGCAGCGCGTCGAGCGGCGCGCCGCCGCCCAGGCCGCCCAAGCCGCCCAGGCCGCCCAGCCCGCCGCGCGCGCGCGCGAGCGCCTCGGCGGCGGCGTACGCCGCCGCGTTGCGGTCGATCGCGGCCTGCGCGTGAGAGAGGTCGGTCGGCGAGCGCGGGCCGGGCGCCCACAGGCGCACAACGGGATCGATGCCGCAGGACGCCAGCAGGGGGTCGAAGGGGTGCGCCTGGGGAGGGGCACAAAACACGTACAGGTGGATCGGGCATGGGAGTTTGGATGTGTATTTGGGGAGGGGAGGAGAGGCCAGGAGGCTCGGTGGATCGCGCTCGCCCATCTTCAGGCATGGCGCACCACACGGCCGCAGAATGGCCCGGCCCCGCGCCGCATGGCGCAGCGCCGGCGCCCTGATCGCCGCCGCCCCGGCCCCGGCCCCGGTCCGCTGCGACCGCCCCGGTCCCCGGCCCCGCACCTTGACGCCGCTGAGCGGCCGGCCCCCGCCCTCCAGCACGTTCACCAGCCGCCCGTCCGCGCCAGACCAAATGAAGATCGCGCCGTCGTCCGACCCCGACACCACAAACCCCCCGCGGCCCCCGCCACCGCCGCCGCCGCCACCGCCGCAGGACAGCCACGACACGTTTTTCAAGGTGATCTGGTTGCGGTGCCCGCGGCAGGCGAAGAGGTAGCCGTCGCCCTCACCGCCGGGCTCGGCGGCGCCGATGGTGGCGGCCGCGCGGCGCGCGGCGGGGGGGACGCGGCGACGGCGGGGGATGCGGAGGCGGGCCGGGGGGAAGGCGAAGTCCGAGTCGCTGTCCGAGCCGTCGCCGCCGCGGGCGGGGCCGGGGGCGGCGTCCGAGTCGCTGCCTGGGCCGCCGGACGGGCCGCGGCCGGGGCGGGGCGAGTCTTCGGACGCCGCACTGACGAGCGGCGGCAGGTCGCCCTCGCTGCTAGAGGACGGCGACTGCCGCGGCACGTGCGCGTGCGCGGGCGCCGCCGCCGCGGCCAGGCGC